ATATATATATATATATATATATGTACTAGAGATGCACCGATACTAGTATTTGGGCGAAATGCTTTTGCCCAAATGCTCCCGATGCCTATCCCGATACCGAAACATGGAGCTGGCTTCCTGGCCAATTAGGAAGCCGGATGCCATGTAATGACTTGCCTCCCAGCTTCCTGATTGGTCGGGAAGCTGGTCAATCAGGAAGCCAGGCAGCGAGTCATTACCTGCCCCCCAACTTCCTGAAATGGCCAAAAAGCCGGCTCCATGCTTCCTGGTCACCTGGTGATGAGGGAGCATGGAGACAGCTTCCTGGCTAATCGGGAAGCCAGGCGGTGGGTCATTCCTTAATGGGACTTCCGGTATCAGTATTCAGTATCGGCGAGTACCGAAAAGAAAATATCGGTACTCGTACTTGATACCGAAAAATCAGTATAGGTGCATCCCTAATATATACCCAATACAACCTGTAACTTTATTTAACAATCTAATATTTTCTGTTACTATCTAGCTTGGTTTTTTTTTGGTTTCATTAGAGTAACATAATATCATTTTTGCTATATGCTCCAAGTGTTAATAATGATGCTGTTTTTGATATAATTTATTGTCACAGTGTTACATGTTGGACAGCATATATAGTTATTTTTTTATAATGTAAAGTTTTTTAGCAGGTGCTTATGCTCAGTGGCCAGTCCCTTTGTGTGTGTAAATATTTTTCCCTACTACTTTTATATATAAAAAAGATTTTTTGATATAAGAATTATTAGGCCTTTCTGTATACTGATACATATAGGATATGTGCAGTATACTATAAATTTGTATACATTTATTTTTTAACAAAAATTGATTCAGTGTTTTATTAATTTATCTATATATTGATAAACTCCGCCTTCTCCCCCTCCTCTTTTTTATTTTCTACATAATTTTATTGATATGTGATTATGACATGGAGATCTGATGCTCCTGGAGGGTTAGGGTGCTGGTTTTATCATTGACTTCCCTTTCCCAGCTCAGTTAACACTCCTTGGAGCAAAGTTTTTCTAGTCCACAGGTAGTCCTGTAGATAGGATGATAAAGGGGAACTCCATGGAAAAATCAATTCAGGCACTGGGACTCAGGGGATCCTTTCCTTTGGTGCTAGCATTGTGGATCCCATCCGAATACTGCTTCGGCTGTTCTTTCTGCTGACGGCCTGCGCTGGACATTTCCCAGCAGCATCTCTCCTCTCTCAGCTGCAGCTTGCCTTACCCTATACATCACCACTTTTCTAAGCTTGATTTTATTTACATTTTTGGAACACATTGTCCATGAAA